AAGATCTTTCAACTTGATCCCCGCTGCAACAGAAACAAGAACCTTATCCTTAGAGAGCGTTGACTTTACTTCCGTGATGGCCTTCTTAACTACACAACACAAGGTACAGCTTTTTTAGATCTCAACTAGTTTTGCTTTTGTATTCAATAGAGAAGCAAAACTGAGAGGTAGAAAAAGCATACCAACTTGAGGTTTCACAGAGAAGATCACAACATCACTTTCTTTAACAACCTGCCAAAACCAAATTTTCAAAGTTCAGTCACTTCATTGGTTTTACTCCAATGAGAAAATCTCTCGCTCCCTCTCTATCTAAGACTACCTATGAATAAGGAAAGGTAAAGAGAAGAAGATGCCACTTACTTCTTCGCTACTGGAGAAGACATTGACGCCAAAGGATTCAAATACTTGACGGCGATTCAGATTCGAGTGAACGGCTGTAGAGATACGATTCGGAGGAAGCATCCCAGAGGCAACGACGCCTCTAGCGATACTCTCAGCCATCTTTCCAGCTCCGATGAACCCTACCTTGAAGCTCTCCGCGGAAATTGGAAGTGTCTCCATCGCAAAAATTAATCGGATTAACGATTTACAGATTCTAAATGATACTAAATCTTACTATTGTTTGCTTCAGATAATCAGTGTTGTGGTGTGCACGTGCAGATCACGTGGCTGGTTTGTTTTACCTAGGCCCAATAGAATAAAGGATATAGACTATATCATATAGTCTTACAAACGGCCCGCTTATACAACGCATTAGAACATCACGGCGTTTTATGGCAAATCGATGCAAAAGTATACCAAAACCAGAAACGATACGACAAGGTAAAATCACTCTTCTATATTATCAAGGCACAATGTAAACAAACTTTGGAACGTTACAGAGCCAGAACAAGGACCGTTACAGAGTCGTGCTTCTTCCCACCCGCCAAACCGAGCACCACCTCAGTCTTCTGAATCTGAGTCGAGACGGGACTCAAGCGGTAACAAGTTCACCCAAAACTGCCTGACTATGATACGTTGGCAGCACGTTTTGAAGCAATCAGAGACAGTAAAGGCCCACTGATCTCAAGCTGGAAACTTCATTTACTCATCCTATATACATGTAGAAAGAAAATCACGTTTTTTATTTATGCAGTTGTTGTGTTTATTATTACATTGGTTTAGTCATCGTGTATGGAGAAGAAAGAAGCACTATGTTTTTGTACTAAAAATCATTGTCCAGATTTATGCATTTGCGCATCATCGTTTCTGTCATAAATTTAGCATAAAGAAAGTTGATAATGAAAGGACAGTTCGGTCCAATGTTTTAAAGTATCCATTTCTCTTACCATTTCTCTTACATTTGTTCTTACCATCGCTCTTGAACTTGTTCTTAAACACCATTTCTCTTACCATTTCTCTTTCAAATGGCTTCATTCTTCTAATAATAATCTTTCCTATGATAATTATGAAGAAATAATGGATGAAAAATTCGACCACATTTTCGATCAACAATTTTACATTTTTGATCAACAATTTGAAATTTTTTCATTCATCATGATGCCTCGCAAGAAGTATTAAAAAAACGAGCTTACATTTGGTATCAATCAAGATTACAACTAATCAATTTTTTTCTCATTTATAATTTGTATTTGTATTTTAAATATGTTTTTATGTAATTTTTATGTATGTTTTTCTTTCATGTTATGAAATCCTATAATTTAACTTACAAAAAAAAAATTAAGAACTTTAGTGAAGTTCTCCAATTAGACTTAACAAGAATTTTTAATTTTGCAAATCACAAAATTAATTACTAAATTAATTATAAAAACCTTTCATTGCCCCTCGCCAATGGACATGCTCTAATACGACCCTCGAAGATGGCTTTATTACAAAACTGAGTATATATAACGCTTCACCGTTTCATGAATCCTTTATCCATGGATATGCATTCATGATATTATTATATAACATACTGACATATGCCACTCTTTCAAACACTTGTCACTTGTGTATTTAGTTTATCTTGGTATTCAAAGTTAATACCCTATAGTCTATTTACTAAGAGCATCTCCAACCCCACTTCATAATTTACTGCAAAATGGAGTGAAAAATGGAGTGATCAAGAAACAAAAAAGTGATTACTCCAAATATGGAGTAATGAGATTTTTGTTTCTTCATCACTCCATTCTCCATTCCATTTTGCAGTAAAATATGGAGTGGGGTTGGAGATGCTCTAACCAAAAAAACTGATGCAAAACACATGTCTAAAATCTCTAACAAACTGCATACCGACATACAGAGCCGTGAATAAGTGGAAATTTGGTTGTCGTTGTTCTAAAGTATTTCACTCTTTAATTTCCTGTTTGTTAAGCCTGTTTCTTTGCTACTTTTCCATTCGTGGACTTTTGACCCAACTTGAAAAAGCTGAGGGTATGGAACTATTTATTGAAAAAACAAGAATAAGTGGAAATTTGTTATATGTCTTTTATTTTAACAGTGGAAATTTGTTATATGTCTAACACCTATCTAGTTAATGTTGACAATACTTTTTTTTAATGAGTGAATCATCCAATAGGATTATATCATTTCATTTTTGATCTTTCAAAAAAAGAATCCAAATTTTGTTAAATTATATTATGTTTTTAAAAATAAAATACAAAAATAAATAAAGAATAATAATAACTAATAACTAATAAAAATGAAAATAATTGTTTTCTAAAAAATATTTTAACACTAAACCCTAAAATCTTATTCTAAACCCCTAGGTAAATCATAAACATTTGAATAAATTTTATAAAAAAATTCTTCAAAAAAAATCTTTTACACTTAAACACTAAACCTTAAACTTTTTTCGTTTTTATTAGTCAGTACTTACTAGCTTACCAAATCATGTTATGTCTTGTTACCGGATACCAAAGAAAATTATCTCAAAGTTGCAAAGCGTCATAGCACAATTTTGGTGGAGTCCAAGGACGAATACAAGAGGATTACATTGGAAATTTTGGGATAAGCTTTGCACAAATAAAGAAGCGGGGGAGGAGGGGGGGGGGGGTTCTGGGTTTTAAGGATCTTTTAGATTTTAATATGGTTATGTTAAGAAAACAATTATGACGACTGATCGTGAAACCTGATATCCTTTTTTCTCGAGTTTTCAAAGAAAGGTACTCGCCGTCCTATGGTTGGCGCAGTCTTGTATCTGCTAGATCTCTAGTTAGAAAAGGACTAATCAAATGGGTGGGGTCATGTTCTTCTGTATCTGTATGGAATGATCCTTGGTTCCCAACCACACGCCCGAGACCAGAAAAATATAAAAATCAAAATTTTTACCCTCATCTCACTGTAAATTCTCTTATTGATCAAACATCAAGGAAATTAGACACAAGTGATTAGGTCATTGGTGGAACTAGAGGACGCAAAGATTATCGAAAGTATACCATTAAGTAGGCATCGGCTCGTAGATAAAGATGGATGGCATTTTATTACTAATGGAAAATATACTGTAAAATCAGGCTATCAGGTAGAAAGAGTATATCCAGATAGAGGAAAAGATCTAATGCCTTATGGTCCCACAGTCACTCCCTTAAAAGTACTTTCTAGGAAAATTCGATGTCCACCTAAGATGAAACATATTCTGTGGTAGATCATATCATGATGTATTTTGGTAAAGAAAAATCTGCATAGTAGGGGTATGCAAGGCGATGTTCTGTGTGATAGATGTGGAGTGAGGGAGGAAACAATAAATCATGTGTTTTTTGAGTGCCCCCGGCGGTCCAGGTTTGGGCCCTTTCAAAGATCCCATCTAGGTCAGATCTTTTTCCAACTCAAGGATTGCTCACAAATATGGATTACCTATATTGGAGGCTGCCTAAAGATATTAACAACCATCAAGTTGCATGGATTTTGTGGTATATTTGGAAGGCAAGGAATAATAAAGTTTTTAGCAATATTGATGTGTCTCTTATGGATACCTTGCAACTGGCCGAAACAGAAAACTTACTCTGTATGGAAGCTCAGGCTACACTTGCACATACGAATTCGGGGTCGGTTGAGATGGAACAGTTTAGACTACCTTCGACTCCGGGACTTTGGTGTGTTACGGATGGGTCATGGGAAGCTCAAGATTCTTTATCCGGTCAGGGCTGGTATAGAATCTCTCATCTGGGCGATTGAGAGTATGAGGAACTTACGTCAATATCATGTTACGTTTGCGACGGATTGCATTCAGTTGGTGAAGATGGTTTCTGCACCTAAGGAATAACCTGCCTTTAAGAATTATTTGGAAGACATCAAGATCCTTCGAGAGAGCTTTAATCACTCACAGATCATCCATATTCCAAGGACGCTGAATACCAAGGCAGACAGACTGGCACGATGGGCTAGGAAGCAATCGTCTTTCGTCGTCCACATGAATACAATATTACCAGAGTGGTTCACATAGTCTATTTAGAGTCTCTTTATGTTGATGACAAAAAAAAAAACTAAACCCTAAACTCTAATCCTAAATCCTAAATCCTAAACCCTTGGATAAATCATAAACACTAAACCATAAACTCTAATCCAAACCCTAAACCCTTGGGTAAATCATAAACACTAAAGTTTTATAGATTTATCCAAAGATTTATGATTTACCTAAAGGTTTAGGGTTTAGGATTAGAGTTTAGTGTTAAAATATTTTCTTTAAAAAGAATTATTTTTTGTTTTATTAGTTTTTTATTTTTAAAAATATAATAAAATATAATAAATTTTTGTTTCCCTTTTAAAAAGATATCAAATATGAAACAATGTAATCATATTGGATGGTGAACCCAAGAATAAGTGTTTTTTTATTCGGTGTGTGATCTTTTTTTTTTTTTCTTATCCCTTTACATATATTAAACTTTAATGACAGCTTAAAAACTTTCAACTTGGTAATCTAGAAAATCATTTTCTTTAGTTTCTACATACCAAGATTTTTTACCATACTTACTTTGAACTATTTGAATGATATAAATTTCCTTCTTAAAATTTACATTAAAAAGCCACATTTTTCAAATGCTATTTATGCCACTATCTAGACTACAAATACCTTACTTCTCTGGAACCACCAAGTGATCAACAAACAATAACTACATTCTAGAAAGAAAATGAGGTGAAACAAATTGAACAAAAATAAATTTCAGTAAATCTCGACCTATATTTGTGAAAACAGCCTGAAGAAAAAAACACACAAACATGTCAGTTTCATTATCACCTCATCATGTGGTTCTCTTCCCTTACATGTCAAAGGGCCACACCATCCCTCTCCTCCAATTCGCCCGTCTCCTCCTCCGTCACCGCCGTGTCATCTCCTCCTCCAACAAAGACACCAAAGAACCATCAATTTCCGTCACAGTCTTCACCACCCCACAAAACCAACCATTCGTCTCAAACTTCCTCTCCGACGTCACATCATCCATCAAAATAATCTCTCTCCCTTTCCCTGAAAACATCGCCGGAATCCCTCCCGGCGTAGAAAGCACCGACAAGCTCCCGTCCATGTCGCTCTACGTGCCTTTCACGCGTGCAACCAAATCTCTCCAGCCTCTCTTCGAAGAAACGCTTAAGAATCTTCCACAAGTCACGTTCATGGTCTCGGATGTGTTCTTATGGTGGACATTGGACTCCGCCGCTAAGTTCGAGATCCCGAGATTCGCCTTCTCCGGCATGAACTCATATTCACTGGCTATATGCTCCTCTGTATCCGTACACCAACTCTTTACCAAACCGGGAAATGTTAAATCCGATACCGAACCGGTTACTGTACCGGACTTCCCGTGGATCCAGGTTAAGAAGTGCGACCTCGTCCCGGTTTGCTTCGAACCGGATCAATCAGGTCCAGAGTTCGAGCTACTCGTGGACCAGTTAGTGTCTACGGAGAAAAGCCGTGGAGTTATAGTGAATAGTTTTTACGAACTCGAGTCAAAGTTCGTTGACTATCGGGTGGGATTTGAAGGTGAGCCCAAGCCGTGGTGTGTTGGGCCTTTGTGCTTGGTGAACCCTCTTAAACCGGAAAGTGATAAACCGAGTTGGATTGCATGGTTGGACCGGAAGCGAGAGGAAAGCTGTCCGGTTTTGTACGTGGCGTTTGGAACACAGGCTGAGATATCGACAGAGCAGCTCAAGGAAATAGCCTTAGGCTTGGAAGATTCCAAGGTACGTACGTATAATAGTAAATCTTTAATCTTTAATAGTATATAATCACTTAAACATATTCTTTCCGTTTCAAAAAGATTCATGTTTTAGAAAAAATATTCGTTTAAAAAAAATATATTTTTTTACATTTTCAATGTATTTTTTAATGGTAAATTATAAACTTCAAAAATTATAATTGTATTTACTAAAATTTTATTGGTTAAAAGTTATAGAGAATAGTTAACTATAGAAAATAATATAGTGGTAATGAAAATTTGATCTGTTTTTTTAATAAGTGTGAAAATGTTAAAACATGAAACATTTTGAAATGAAAAAAATTATATGCATTGTCATTAGTTTCAGAAAAAAACATACATTGTCCTTTTCAAAATGTTGGACATAACTCCATGCAAAGTTGTTGTAACGACCAATGTGGTTGGCATTAACTTCACGGCTTTATCCAGAAATTAAATGGACTGACAATGGACCAGTGGTTTTAAACCCAGCATGAACCGGCGGTCGAACTGGGTTCTACCGTGAACCAAACACTTTGGGTTAATGCAGAAACCGACTACCCAACAAACCGGCTAATTAAACTCTACTTCATATATAAACCAAATTTTTCTTTAATAAAACCATTAACTATTTATTTTTAAAGTAAAAATAGGATTTGTCAGATTAATAAAGTAGGGTTGTCTCATCTTTTCTTTTGTGTCTTTAAATATATAACTTTTTTAACTAATAAGTGTGTTATTTTTCAAAGGTGATAAAGATATATTCAAAAGTTTTTTTTATTGATTTTAGATTTGAACTATTAAATTATTTTATTACATTTTCAAACTTTTCTAAATATTATAGTTATTGAAACAATTTATTTGATATGATCCATCTTTGTAAGAATATGCATATTATATAATATCATTAATTAAATTCAGTTTAATCTATTCAAACCCGATTGAAACCTGTCGAACCACAATGACCCATGATCCAAAACATTTCCAGTTCGCTAGCCAGTCATGTATTAAAAACACTGCAATGGACATTATTTTGTTTATTGACGTAAGGTATTGAGTGTTTTATAATAAAGGTAAGCTTCTTGTGGGTCACAAGAATGGACGTGGAAGAAATGACTGGAGAATTAGGGTTCAAGAAGAGAGTGAAAGAGCATGGGATGATTGTTAATGATTGGGTGGACCAATGGGAGATACTGTCACATGGAAGTGTGAAAGGGTTTTTAAGCCATTGCGGATGGAACTCCGCGCAAGAGAGTATCTGCGCCGGAGTTCCGGTGCTGGCTTGGCCAATGATGGCCGAGCAGCCACTCAATGCTCAGTTGGTCGTGGAGGAGCTAAAGATTGGAGTTAGAATCCAAACAGACGATGGAACTCTCAAAGGGTTCGTGTCAAGAGAAGAAGTTAGTCGAAAGGTATATTATATCAAAATGTTTTGAAGAATATAGTATAATATTATGGTACTAAATATTATTGGCTTTGTTTATGATATTTTTATTGGTACAATATAGGTTGAAGAGTTGATGGAAGGAGAGACAGGGAAGACTATGAGGAAGAATGTGAAAGAGTATGCAGAAATGGCGAGAAAAGCTTTGGGTCAAGGAACTGGTTCGTCTTGGAAGAATTTGAATTCGCTTCTTGACGAGCTATGCCACAGTGTAGAAACAAATGATGTTAATAAGCTGTCAAGCTGGTAACATTATTGTGCTTCTGAGTGATCTAATAGGGAGTTTGGATGCAAAATAATATCTGATATGAGAAAAAGATAATACAATATAACATTACAGTTTAAGAACAATGCACTTTTTTACTCTACACTCTTTTGCTATATCTAAAACATTCTCAAACCAATACATAAAAATGAAAATATTAGAAGTTAAAATATTTATTTCCTAACACTATTCACCATCTAAAAACCAAACATGTCACACTTTTAAACATCTTCTTTATCCATTGAGAAATCAGGCTCATCTGGTTTGAATAGTTGAGGCATTTTCAAACTATTAGAAGATCCATCTTTCTTACCAGTACCACTACTACTTGAAGCCTTTTGATTAGTGCCTCTTCTCGTGTTTGCTGCAAACTTAGAAGCCAACATTGTTGCTCCAAGGTTTTGGCTGTTGTTTGTGTTGTCAATTGATAATCTCTCGCCTTCGAAATCATCGTCGTCGCTTCCATAGTAGTTTTCTTCTTCGTTGTAGCCTGTTTCATCTCTGTAATAGTATCCACTACTCTCGTGCAAGCTGAGCTCTTTCGCGAGCTTTCTTCGCTTGTACCTTCTCCATGCAGATTGCACAAAACACGTTCCCCATGCTCGCCACTGATGTGAGTAGTACCTGAAACAATTGACGTATATAAGATTTGATTCAGTTATGCCATCATTGCATGGCCAGTCCCGAGATTTTGTGTGTACTATAAACAATTTAATAAAATTTTAATTTTTTTAAAAGGACATATATATATACTAGATATTTTGTCCATATTTGCAGATTTAAGAATTTTATAAATAAATATATTATCAATTCAAATACTATGAGAACTTACTATTGTTCATTAGTTCAAAATATTTAATAATAAAAAGATCTATTTTAAAAACTAACTAGATTTTGACCCGCGCAACCGCGCGGGTGTTTGTTTTCGTTTATAGTTAATTATATAAACATTTTGTTTTCACTTGGTATATATTATAGTAATCACATATTTACGATGTGTATAGTAATTTTTTTCAAACATAATAATATTATATAATACGTGCTTTAATCAAATAGATTGTTTCAAATTTATATATTATACATGTTTTTCAAACATTTATTTGTTTCTTCTTCTATATTTTATTGTTTGTTAGATTAATATTTCATTTTTAAATAAAGTAATATAAATAGAGCTTGATTAAATATTAGTATACTTTAATTTTCAAAGATAATATAAACTTCGAAGAAATTTTCTCGAAAAACTAAACTTATAGCTTCATAAATTAATATTATAAAGAATTTTATTAAAAAAAAATTTTTAAACAATTTTTAAAAAACATTTTCAAAATTTACATCGAATAAATTTATCTAGTATATATAGCGTGTAAATTTTGTTTGGGTATATAAATATTCCATATTATGAATCCGTGATTTTTGTTAATATATTGTGGCTGCATTTAACTATTATTGGCATATTTCCTTATAAATAATAAAAGATGCCTAAACTTATATATATTGATATATTTTGCGTGACTAAATTGGAAGGTGTGGAATAATTTACCCAAACCAAATGGTTAAACGTATCTTTATTATTATAGATATAAATTTTTCATAAGATATAATAATGATAAGATTATTAGAGAGTTAATGTAACATGACTTTCTAGTAATAGTCCATTTTTAAAAAAATCACACATGAAGTCAAGTCATGACTTCTGTTTTAATATATAAGATAATTTAAGGGCATATATATATATATATATATATATATATATATATATATATATATAAGTTTTTCCTAAAATTTTGGAGGTATAAGCTAATGATTCACTAGCATATTCTCAAGACCGGCTCTACATCATTGGATGCTATAAATAGTGTACCTGAAAGCGTGTTGTAACTTTTTGCTTTGAAGACGTTTGAACTGATGAGCAACAAACTTAAGATCCTCTGCGCTTAATGCAAATGCTTCAACTTCAGATAGCGCACGGACGCTTCGGGTTGAAGAAGGAAAGTTGAGTGTAGAGTTTGGCATTAAGGCCCATGTAAGAAGCTCTTCTCCACAAAAATCACCAGGTCTTAGAGTGGTGGAGTTAAAGAAACCAGATCTTCCTCCGTTTGTTGTTGAGCTCTCTATCTGCCCTCTAATCACAAAGAGCATCTCATCAACAGGATCACCTTCACGGAATATATATGTCCCTGCCGTGCTTAAAGATGAGACAAGACATCCACATATAGCGTCAAGAAGTTGGTCATCCATTTGAGAAAAGAAAGGGACCTACACTTAGCAAAAACACTATGATTTTATGAAATGAAAAAACATTAAATTCTTGTGAGGACATAGTTATGTATGTAACGTACTCGTCGGACAAGAGCAAGACAGAGATGACGTTGGATCTCACGGCGTAAGTCAGTAGGTAAAGATTGGAGAATTGACTCTTCATCTACACCTCTGGTTGCAAGCCATTTGTACTGAACGAATCTACGGACACGTTCTTGAAGCTCTGGAGGTAGTTGACGATGTCTCATCCATTCTTCAGTGTCTCGTCTCTTAACTCTCCATTCCTCAACTCTTACGGACATCGATTGTAATGATGACTTTTCACCAAGTTAAAACAAGATCTTTTGTTAGAAAAGTATAAAAAAATGTCATGAAAATTAAGCTATGAATCTTACTTGCATGTTACCAATCAGTAGTGTGAATAGAATCAACCCAAAAATACAAATTGTAATACAGAACAAGGTCTCTCCAAGATATACACTTGTGGTTATATTCTGACCATAAGAACTGTAAAAACAAAACCGTTAGAACAATCTTAAAATAGAGACAATAAATTTGTTGGATCAAAGGATGACATACCTTAGATTTCTTAAACCCCACCAAAGACAATATAAGTACTTGGACACAAAATCCGTAGTAGCGACTTGAGTGGTGAAGGCTTCAGCAAACATGCCAAACTTGAAATTTGTAGTGCTGCTTGTAGCATCACAATGAGAAAGAACCTGAGTAACGTTCTGCCAATACTGTCGCTCAGGTTGCTGTAGACTCTTGCAGTCCAAGAAGCTAGGAAGACAGTCCAAAACCCTGAGGGCGTGATCTTTCTCGCATACTTTGGACCAGCATGAGAACTGCCGCCCAATTGATGATAGATACCACATTGCTCCCAACACCTGAATACAAATGGAGAGACTCTTTAGAAAATTAAAAATGAAGAAAACTAGAGAGAGACAGAGAGAAAACTTACGTGACTAGCAAGGATGTAGAGGAGGAGGTTGTATGCAGCTCCTGCCCAAGCAGTCTTGGCGATGAACCCGGTTGTTTTTATAATCCTTTGGTTAAGTGGGAATATGATGAATGATCTTGGAATGTATTGAACGAGAACGATAAGGGCGAGAGTGCTATTGGCATGGTTAGCAGTACCGTTGGTTGCGGCTGGAATTACTAGCCAAATTACAAGCTGTGAGCAAAAGATTGTCATAACAAACATGAGGCTTTGATAATAGTCAAAAATATCATAACGAATACAAGAAAATAATGAGGAAAAATAGATAAAAATAAACAACACAGAGATTTAACATGATTCAAAAATTGGATAAATCGAGATTTGAGTTAACTCATTTATCATAAATTGTTTTAAATTATAATCTAATGAAAATCCCGAAACTAATATGGTATCAGAGTTCAAACACTACAACCGAACCAAAATTGATCCGACCTATCGAAAGAGTCCCGATCAAAATCTTAAACCGGTCTGACCAACCATTAATCTCGAGGGGGCGGATTTGGGCCACTCCAGTACTGGAGCCAATTTCAGATTTTAAAATACTAAGGTTACAACAAAGAATGCAAGATATATTTCTGCTGCATTATAAGATGTATATATCTCTATCTATGTTCTTTAACCTTATACCTAAGACCATTAACAACATTTCTGATACATTCTAAAAAAAACTAGTAGGGCAAGCCAACCTGAGGAAGAGGAAGCATGGCGGCAACATCGACAATAAAATCACTCTTCAAATACTTCATAGCAATCTCTCTCGGATCTCTAACAAGCTCACCCCGACCAAAAACTCTAGAGCTCCTCGCGACGAACGCGGTTCTAAACTTCATAAAAATATGCAAAAGGTGGAAGATATCGGCTACCGTGCGGAAGAAGGTAACCGTCGCAGCGAGGCTGATGTCTACGGAGAGACACGCGGGTCCGCCTACGTAAGGAGCGTAGAAATAGAAAGGATCTAGAAAGAGAGCGAGGATGGAGGTGACGAGAAAGATGTGGTTCCAGTAGGTGACGATGTTGCTGTCCGGGTCCAGGATCTGATGACGCCATGGAAGGACTTGGCTGCCGTAGTATCCGGCGACAGATCCTCCTCCTCGGTTAGATGCGGCGGCGGTGGAGGAGGTTA